TTTCCAGAGCTTTGCTCTAACCAATGCACAGATCTGTCCATATACTGGTTGATTTTAGCTGTTAGAACTGATAAGTTAAGGAGGGTCAAACCAGGTCAGTAGCCAAATGGGTGACCTCAAAGGTATACTGATTTGCTGCAGGACATTTTTTATAATTCATCAGGTGGCACGCTCTTGGCAGAGTCAGAACTGAATCTTTATCTCAGAATGGTGCTAGTGAAGAGTTTGCAGCTGTAAATCTGGCTTTCAAATGAACTGAAGTTGAATCTCAGACCACCTTGTTCCTCAGAACCTCAGACCACACTGTTCTCCCCAACCCCCCTCCAAAAAGCCAAAAAAAAAAAAAAAAGCAAAACCCAACCCAAATCCACTCATGAAATTCAGTGTATATAAAAATAAACACATCTGGCCATACTCCAGTTCTTCTACTGCCACTTCAAAGGAGAAGGGGAATGTTACTAGGGCAACACTGGGAGCTGAAACAACTAAATACCTACTACTATGCCTCTATACAGTCACGCACTTGAAGTCTTTACCGCCCTGTATACTTATGAGGGAATGTGATTTCTGGCATTGGTGTATACTTCTCAGCACATGAAGCAAAATGGACGAACACCTTCTTTTGTGTCTACAGATGGCCGGATGCTTTGATCTGTGAGCTGATGCATCCACATTACCCAGTGAAGGCAGAGGGAGGGGAAGACAGAGAAAAAAGCAAAGGCAGTTGCCAAAATTGGCAACCAGCCCCAGCCCTTGAATATGTTGGACCACCCTGAAAAGCATTCATATTAGTGTTGAGTAGCATAATTATTAGGTTGTTGGTGTATGTCCCAGCAAAGTATGTGATTTTGTTATTCTTTAAAATATGACCAGACTAAATATGTTGTCAGTGTCATCAAAACTAAGCTGATATTGTTGCTATCTGTGAGCCAGAAGGGTGCTGGATTTTGCATTCCTTTTCCAGTGCTTGGTCCTGTAGGCTGCACTCGCGCTGCTTTGTTGTATGACAGTACTGCTCCACAATGTTGGGGGTTGCCCTCGATGTCATCAGATATTACAAGAAGAAACACCATTTCGGATGACAGCATCTTTGGCAGCTTTCCAGGAGAAATTAGTGGTTATATTAAAATGGTAATATAAGGGGGAGGGGGGCGGGTAGGGGCCCTAAGGATCATAGGTAACCTTTTTCTCGGTAATAAAGCAGATTATGGCAAGAAAGACAAGTATTCTGCCTTTTCTTCATAGTCACTGAATTCCTCAGTGGTCTCCCTTATTTTCTGCAAAGCTTGCTGGAATAATTAGAAAGCAAAGTGCATCATGTATCTATTAGTTTTGTTCCATAGACTTACTCTATTCTAGATATTTTTATGGATTCTGTGAATTAAATGTATTTCATTGTAGTGCTAACCTTTGTCATGCTGTTGCACATCTTTCAGTCTGCACAGCTTTGTTGCCTTTGTTGAGACTTCAAACTTCAGACCTATTTCTTTGGGTCAGCTGTATCTATGACAGCAACTTAATTGCTACATGCATTTGTACTGTTCTTTGGCAATTATGTTTCAGATTCATGCCTGGGGGTTAGTTTTATATTAAATATCAGTAAAAACCAGGTAACAGCTACCCAAACAGCAGTGGAGCAAAATGCCATGTAGTTGCAAGCCAGCCCATCTAAAAGGCGAGGGAAAGGGAATATTTTAATTATATTTTAGCTGTTACTGCCAGGAAGCAAAAGCAGAAATTGTGTTTCAAGAATTGTGGCAGAAGCTATTTATATTTATTGTCTCTGAGCCCCCATAACATCATGTTAATGATTTTGCATTTACATTAAGATTTATCTTTTATTCTTTTTCTCCCTCTTCAAATTTATGAATATTCACAAGCATTAATTTAACACTACTGACCTGTAGCTATTTTGGGGATGCAGATGACATTCACCAGTAATATAAAAACTCAAGAATACTGTTTCTAAATGAAGTAGTGGGGGCAATTTAAGCAATTCAGTGTAATTACTACAAGAATAACATACAGGTTATTAGAAGATGAGACTGTAAAATTTTAATGGGGATATATGGTCAGGAACTTAGTTATATTTCGGGTGGTGCATGTGGACAGAGATGCATCCATGTAACAGCCATTATCAAATTCAGAACAAGGAGCTTGGGTTTGAAATCCTTCTGCCTGAAGATACAGTAGCCAGTAAAGACACACGATTTCCACATGAAGCCTGTAGGACTGCAGTTTTGTACTGTAAATACATTTTTCCCTGCTTCACATTTCTTTGTATTCTAAGGATTAAACTGAGTGTGACTTTATTTGCTTTTTTATAAGAATGGTTGATGCGTAGAATGTAACTTGGTGTAGTGTAAAAAGAACAGCCAGCATAGTAGATAGGAAGGTAGTGAACTGTCATTGGGTTTCATTTTGAAGGAACCCAGTCATCACAGATCACATTTTAATTGTGTCTTCTTATTTCAGATGCCTGTTTAATGCTCCTTTGAGCTAAAAAATTCCTATTAGTTCCAGAGTTACTGGATTAATGCTTATGGTGATCAGCATTTGGATGATTAGAGATTAGTGTTGTCAACCTAAGGCAGAATATAGACTCAACCAATCATGCGCAAGGGAAAATTCCTCATTGTATTCCCATGGAGTTCTCTAATCTGTAGTACAGATATATAAACATATTAAGTGGCTTTTCATAGATGGACTAAAAAAATAATCCATTACTGTGGTGGCATGGATATTTTCATATGATTTTTTTTTTCAGTAGCTTTATATATGTATTTTTAATATAAATATATTTTTTCAAATCCCACTGGAAGGATTTCACATTCAGTTTAGAGCTTAAGGGGTGGACAACGAAGAGTTTCCCATGAGCTTATGGAGCTCGAGTGTATAGAGAATTTAAAGGAAATTATCATTGGGTTGGGAGGCAGAGTGAAGGTTCTGCTTAGATGAATGGCAGTGTAGCATAGATTCATTAGGAAAATTAACCTCTGAGGAATCCAGGGTAGAAGATGTGATAAACTGATGATATTGTAAAATACTAAGGTACAATGTGCAGTCTTGGAATGAGATCCGAATGCGAGTTGGTGAGAACCACTACGGTTTATTTTAAATATAAATGATGATATAATTATTCTGTTTGATTGATTTGGCTTTTCACTAATCCTGATGATTGAAGGGTATATGAAGAGCTTATATTTTCCTCTAGAGGATGACAAAAAGTTCCTTGTTTTTCCTCTAAACAGGCTTTTCTAGCTACGCTTTGCGGGGGCGGGGGGGGGAGAAAAAACAAACCCAAAACAATCCAAAACCAACTCTCTGAACTATGTTGCTTTTTTCAAAGATGACTTAAACTTATCACCTTATCTCAATATTGTAATGCTGAGTCAATAAATACCACTGTGCTTTTTAGTGATTCAGATACCGATATACAAATAACAGTATTTGAACTAGTCCTGGGAAGTTCTAGTGGACTGAGTATAGGAGTCTCATTTTAATGCTTCACTTCTCATATAATGTCTAAATGCTGAACAATGGATCAAAATTTTGGGGTGCTGAAACAGGAGCATATTTTTACAAACTATGATAGATCCCAGGATAGGCAGTCTTGACAGTTAATTAGTGATGTCTTAATCACAGCTTCTTTTTGGAGTAACTGGAGACTTGGAAACAACTGGGCAATGGATTTTACCAGCTAAGCAAAACTGAAGCAGTGCCATTGGACTACTGACATTGGTTTGTTTGATATGTGTCTGGTTGGACAGATTTTAGATCTATATGCAATCTTCCAGAGAAACAAGTAACTAACTAGACATGTTTTAAAAACAACATCTGTTTTGTTGACCTTGCCTTTTCAGCAGTACACCTATATAAACCTAAATATTTAGATGAAAGCAATGTTCAAAGATTTGCAGTTGAGACGTTTCCCTTTTCCACCTGGTTTTATTGATGAATGTAAGGAAAGATAACAATTCACCTTTTTCCACTCCATTAAAATCACATTCTAAGCAGTCTTCTGAAATCAGTACAGTGATATTATTTTGCAACCTAATGGAAGCTTTATTCCAAATACTTGAGCAAATGTTACTGTATATTCATGTATGCACACTTTTACAAAGTAAATAATAACATCTGTGATTTTAGTTCCATTTGCTCCTTTCTATACTGCTACTTCACATGCAGATTGAATTGGGAATATAGTATATTTTAACTGTTTCTATCTTTTAAAATTCACACTTTGAAATTGGGTAACTTTTTAAGGTATGTTCATTTATTTCTGGTTTCCCACTATCTAACCAAATCTGCAGCTTAAAAATATACTTGGGTTTTTAGGAATTGATAAACAGATTTTAAATAGAAATAATTTATTTTCAACATCAAGGATTTGCTTTGTATTTCTCTTTCTATGGGAATTCAAAATAATAAGGTAATTGTGAGAACTGGGTCCAGTGTTTTCCAAATAAGTCAGTGTTATTTGTCATGAGATTTTGTGTATGTATGCATATCATAATTCATTCATGTGTGAAATAAAAGGTATTGCACTTTCTGTTCTCACACCTAAACTTTCAGATATAGTGAAAACTGTTTTACCAAGTTGAAAATTAAAAAAAAAAAAACAAAACAACAAAAAAACCAGTTTTGCCATGAGACATTCCATGCATTTAGGGAAAGTAAATTGAGTAAATAATCTATTATTATAATGACTCATATATGTTCTCCAGAACAAGTGGTACAGTAGTTCCAGATAGATGCTCTAACGAGCAATTTTAACTTACCTAAAAAATGTACCCGGTGTCTCTTCTGTATTTTGACCATACTTTCATTATTTAAGTGTATAATTTATTTTGAATCACGTACTTGACAAGAGAAACCAAAAGATTTTCTGCAGTAGTTTGTAGTCACTAGATTTCTGGTTTGATGAAGATGATAGAGTTTAAGGGATTCTATTTAGGGAAAATAACTTTTCTCTGTTTTTCTACCCCCTTCCCTCCCAGATCCAGCCATTGTAAATGGAGTTTATTGGTCAGAATCTTTAAACAAGGTGTTTGTTGATAATTTTGATCGTGACCCTTCTCTCATCTGGCAGTACTTTGGAAGTGCAAAAGGATTTTTCAGACAATATCCAGGTAAGAAGAATACAAACTCTTACCTAAAATACAAGAAAGAATGCTATGGCTGCAAACTGCCATTGAGTACTGTCACAAATCATGACTTTCACAGATACTTGCAAGTTTGATTTTACTTTATCTAGTTTTTGGAGAGAGATATTTCTAATCAACATTTACAATGTTCTGAGTTTTGTCTACCAATTTTCATTTGGAGGTGAACCTCCCAAGATAACTCATGTACTTGTATATATTCCTATTCAGATATACATATACACACACATACAAAAAATGACTTCTAAACAGACTGTGGAGAACGAGGGCAAAGAGATTAGACCCTTCATATAGAACTGAACTTAGATAGTATGTGCTCTATTGATGCATACAGTAAGACTTAATTGTAATGTTCAGTTTTTGGACTTCCACTTAACCTGACATCTTTACATTTAAAGATTTCAAAAACTTGTTTTAAAGTTTACTTTCACACCAGTTGTAGTAAAAGGTAATTAGATCCCTTGTATTATTTATGTAAAAATAGGTTAAAATATATATCGTTACCTATTTAGTTTTCTGTTTAATCACATACCAAATTTAATGCATATTAAATAAAGTGATCTTCAGCTTTTGTAACTTTGGATCAGGCCCATAGTAGGAACTGTGCCTTTAGCTGACATGGTTTAGCAACCCATGTTTTTTATGTCTGAAGTCTTGAGTTCAATGTGTGCAAGTTTACTATAAGTATGTCTGGAAGTAGCTGAAAGTAATGGCTACTACATCTGTCTTAGTTTTAGATTATAGTTCAGTCCTCAAGCTCCATGATATTTCAAGGTTAGAAAAAAATATTAGTCCTTATTTTAATGGCTGTTTCTTGTTTTGTGCAAGAAAACAAGTGCAAAAAGCAGGAAGGTTTTCCCTGTCATTTTATTTTGCTTGGAGATGTTTTTATCCTATTTCCTTTGGCCGACAACTGGGAGATATTTACCTTTTCTGTGAGAAAAACATCAGGTGTATGACCTGTGAGTGAAGCAGTTAGTATGAGATCAGCCATGGGTAGTAAGTGCTCAAGGTTTGAAAGGGACTTGCCAAGCATGTGATAAAGCTTGCCAGCACCAATGACCAAGTATGACAATACTTTAGTGACAATAGTATGATGAACAAAGTAGGCTTGAAGAGGTTTTCACCGTACAGCAGGCTAAAAAGGAGTGAGGAAAAAAAATACTGTTTCTGGTAGTCCTATTTCATTAAATTATTTTTTCAGCATTTCCTATGTTATAATACCATTGCCTGTTAGATTAAAGTATGACACTCCATTAAGTGCTACTTTGCCCCAAACCACAGATACATTTTGAACAGGTACTGTGAAAATGTTGTGATTTAATTTATCTCTTTTTTTAAAACAGGAATTAAATGGGAACCCGATGAGAATGGAGTCATTGCATTTGACTGCAGAAATAGAAAATGGTAGGCAATAGATGACCACCAGTGTTTAAGAAATTTGAAAGGAAGAAAAGTTCAGTATTTAAAACAACAAGCTGTTTTGTCTTTTGTCTTAGGTACATCCAGGCAGCAACTTCTCCAAAAGATGTGGTAATTTTAGTCGATGTCAGTGGTAGTATGAAAGGGCTTCGCTTGACTATTGCAAAACAGACAGTTTCATCTATTTTGGATACCCTTGGAGATGATGACTTCTTCAATATAATTGCTGTGAGTGTCTCAGGATTTTTCTTCCTTTTTTTTCTTTCATCGTTGTTTGCTATCTGTCATGCTTTACATCACACAAGGCACTTGAAAAATGTTGCAGGCGAGTGATGGATATAAGATGATATCCGAACCATTTGGACACTGATTTTTTCCAGTGCAAACTTCTTCAGGTGACAGTGTTTTCAAACTGTTTTTCTATGAATTGCAATCTGAAAACACTTAAACAAGTTGTCTGGAGTTTGGAAGTTGTGAAGAATCGTAATCTGTTTTGTACTTTGCCTGAACTTTCTACATTAATTTTAACTTTGGGGTGTGTCATCATTGTCGTGTTCCACCCTCGCGCCCCACACACCGCCTTTTTTTGCCTTTACAACTTCTTGAGTACGCTGCAAACTGCAAAATGGTTAATATGCAAGAATTAATAGAACCAGATCTTAGCTTTTGCTGAAGCTTGTATGGCATGACAAAATGCCAACACAGCGCCTCATTGTTCATGCTTTCCTCAGGGTGAATCTGGAATGTATGTATGTGCAGAGGTATTACCGGTGCTTTCTAACAGTGATAAACTGGATCATCGGTAGTTCCTGTTATTTGTGTACAGTAGCTAGTTTTCCATGGTACAGGTACATGTTTGAAATCTATGACAAGAGAATAGTTTTATAGTATTTAAGAGTAATGGGATTAATCAGGTAGGTAAGAATGGCTTTAAAAAGTCCAAAACTGACATCAAAACTACGATTTGGCTGGGGGTTGGGGGAGAGAAGGAGGAATAGGTGGCTTTATACATTCTCCTTTGCTGATATTCTTTTGCTAATACTTTATAAATATGTGGTTCTATCATATGCATAAATAGTAAAAATGTCTTCAAACTCTTGAACGTTGAAGATTTTGGCCTTATTTTGCTACAAGGGGAGTGCCCTTTGTGTACTAAAATAAATGAACCCAGTGACACCGCTGAGATTGTATGGAGAATGAAGTATATATGGCTGAAGTATATGTGCATTTACTGCATTTTTAACACATAGCAATCAATTATCTCAGAATATCTTTCATATTAATATCCTTGCATGGTAATTGCATAATTAACAGAAACTCATGTAGTGTAAATACATAATTACATACCATACCAAAAAAGGTTTACTGTCCTTCAAAAAAATTGTGACTAATAACTAAATAACTTTTGTAAGTTGAAAGAATGTTTCAACTAAATAATTATTAAGATCCTTGACCAGCTATTTTTCAGTTTATAACCTCTGTGTTTATCAGTAGTTGTGACTGTTACTGTGAATGGTGCAGGAATAAAAAAGAATTTTTTTAAATGAATTTTTTTACTTTGGGGAAACCAAAAGGCTGATCTGTAAGAAAGAAATGTAAAAATGTATATAGCAAGAATCCAAAGTAAGGGTTTTGCTTAAGTAATAAAGTAGAAACACTCTGTAAATATTTAAAAAAAAAAAAGCAAGTATGAAATAACTAAATGTAATTTTTTTAAATTTAAACTTTAATTGAAAAAGAACTGAGCTGTGTGTAAAACAGCATGGAGTCACAGAATTTTTGTGGAATTTATTGCCAATTAACACGAACTTCTGATCACTGATTCGGGTATTGAAAAAAGGAAAGAAACACCCAGTTGAGCCTTTCCTCTCCCTTGCCTTGGCGCAACTCCCACCCAGCGCCCGGCCTCCCCGCGCCCTGCTCTCACAGCCCTTGCCTTCGCTGAGGGTTTCAGTCCCTCCCCTCTCCGGGGCGAGGCGCTGGGCGGTGCGGGAGGTCGAGGTGCTTATTGGTTTCTTACTGCCGCTCTTCGCTGCTTACGGGTTTTCCTCTGCTGCTCTTCGCTTTTCCCTTCAGCACGGGTCACCCATGGGCCACAGCTCCTCAGGCGTGTCCCCACCTCAGCCTAGGTCACCCATGGCTGCAGTCCCGTAAGGGGGTGTCCTTGCCCTGGTGCGGGTCAGCTGCAGGCCCTGGTGTCCAAAAGCACGCTCCTTTCAGCATGACACGTTTCCAGCCCCGATGGCTTCTTCCTTACGCCTGCCTGCGTGAGGAGGCCACGGCCCCCTCAGGCTTGCTGCTGCAGTTTTGGTGCCGCACAGGTCGCTCAAACCGGTGTTGGTGCCAGCTGGAACTGGCTGTGACCGGCACACGGCGGTTCCTGACCCTGTCCCACACAGGTTGGCACTGCAGCCCTCTCCTGCTTACACCTAATATGTAGCTTGGTTAGTACAAGAAATTCTTAATAGTTAGAAAGATACGTAATTTCTGTGGTAATTATAGCATTTGTCTGAGATAATCTTTTAATCTGAAGGTTCTTTCCTCTCTATAGCCTCTTTTAGGATTAATATGTGTTTATTTGTTGAAATAGGAACTGAGAATGCAATTTTATTCTTATGAGCTCAGCTACTTTATTTCATTAGGACATTGATGGTTTTAGTTACTGTGCAAATATGAACCTGAAATTATTCACTGAGTTTTTAAGGAGTTGTTTTGGACTAAGTGTCACAATATAATCCTTGCTGTCTCACAAGGCAAAAAAATAATAATTTATTTAAATAAAGAAAATACAAAATCTATTTGCTTGAAAATGTAACAAACTGGTAGCAGAGACCGGTGCTGTGGAGAAGGGAGTGGACATTTCAGTGAGGAATGGCATAGGTAGCCTGGGGCTGGATTATGAGCTTTTAAATTTTGGTGTTAGAGGAAGACATAGCGAGGGTACACAGTAAAGCCAGGGTTACTGTGATCTAAACGATCAGCAAAAATTACTTATAAAGCACTGCTCTGAATAAGTGCCGGCAAGGTAAATGATCTTTGTCAAGACTGGAGAGGTTGTTTTAGTGATCAAAAGATGAGACAACAAAGCCCACGCAAGAGGCTTCTTGATGTGAAAGCACTGATAAATCCCATATAGCATTTACCTATAGACAAATGTTTGAGTGAGACTATATCTTACTCTTTACAATTTAGACATAGCCTGGTGGTGTGAAAGCAGTTTCAAGTGAAGTTAAGATACACATATGTCCCCTTTGTAACATAGATCTCTGCATATATAGCAAGTCGCTGTATCTAGAATGGGTCAGCTGTGCAGTGTGTGCAAAAATAGATGCACTGTGCCTAAATGTGGAAGACTTACTCTTCACATAGCATACAGCTGATACTTGCTCATACCAATTATTTTTCTGAAAGGCCTGTCCAAATTATTGCTCTGTGAGGGCTGCTGGACATCTAGAAGTTTGAGACAAATGTCCAAGTACCTCTTTCTCTTCCCAGACCAAAATTTGAGGTGGAATAAGAGCTTTTTGTGGGAAATCTGGACAAACAGTGTACTTCCTAGATGAAGCAAAAGTTTTGAGCCTGAGTGATTGACAGAATAGCTTTACTGTGCATAGTGATTAATGGAACAAATACTTGCAACAGAAGACTTCTGTGAGGAACTGGGTCAAGAATTTGGAGTCAAATAAGTTAAGGAGTTCTCTCTCTCCCCCTCTCCTGGTTTTGGCTGGGATAGAGTTAATCTTCCTGGTAGTTGGTATAGTGTTGTATTAGTTGGTATACTTTTGGGTTTAGTATGAGAATAATGTTGATGACACAATGATGTTTTAGTTGTTGCTAAGTAGTGCTTACACTAGTCAAGGATGTTTTGACTTGTCATGCCCTGCCAGCGAGAAGCTGGACGGGAGACACAGCCAGGACAGCAGACCCAAACTGGCCGAAGGACTATTCCATACCATATGTTGTCATGCTCAATATATAAATAGGGGGGAGTTGGCTGGGGGCACTGCGGCTCGGGAACTGGCTGGGCATCAGTCAGCGGGTGGGGTGAGCAATTGTGTTGTGTATCACTTATTTTGTGTATTCTTTTGTTGTTATTGTCGTTATTATTATTATTATTTTCTCTTCCCTTGCTGTCCTGTTAAACTGTCTGTATCTCAACCCGTAAGTTTTACCTTTTTTTTCTGATTCTTCTCCCCCTCCCACTGGGCATGGGGGGAAGGATCAGCAAGTGGCTGTGTGGTGCTTAGTTGCAGGTTGGGGTTAAACCACGATACTCGTATTCTCACAAGAGGGGAGAACCCTAAAGCATGCCTGCATTTTGAAGCAAAAGAAGGAAATGCAAGGGAAATAGTAATGAAAGATATGAGAGAGGACTTACAGATGAGCAACAGTCAGAATGAAGCAAGTGGAAGGGTTATGCGAGCAGATGAGAAACTTTTATGTTTGTTACAGTAGGAAGGAACAGCACTTTAAAGTTAGCCAAAAGAGAACATGAGGTTAGAGAAGCTGGGCTAGTGTAAGACAGGGCTCTGTTGACAGTGGGGGTCAAGGATGGAAAAGAATCGAGCATTGAGTAAATCGGTATCTATGCTGGTGGAAGAAGAGGAAACAGAACCTAGCAGATGAAAAAGTGAGGTCTGAAAAGCATTTGTGCAAGATTTGTGGTCATCAATTCTGGTAGGTTTTTTATTCCCCCTTTACAATATTGCACTGTACAAAAAGTTTTAAAAGCTTTTTCAATTTGCTTTTCAGGCTGTTCTTATGTGTTTCAGTATTCCATACAGAAGAATTTGTTTTTGTAGGATTCTCATTAACTGTAGTGGGAGTTAAGGTCACTACGTACTATCATCATTAAAAACTCAATTAACTCTTATAAATATGCAGTAAGGTACCACAAAAGAAACTCCAAGCCAGCCAAGAGCAAAACCCAAAAGCCACTAGCAGTACATTAGCTGAGCTGTTTCATATCCATTTGATTTTTCAATAAATATACTTTTAACATTATGTGTATATATAGCAGAAAGCAGAATTTGGTGCAGGTCTTTTCAGAGGATAAACATAAATGGAAATTGTTTTAGCTTTCATGGGTAGGTTGTTGTAAAATCTATTTGAAATTGATGGACTAGATGATTAAATTGCAAAAAACTGCTGAGATACAAGAGCGATTTTTTGCTGCCTATGTTAAATTTTAAGGTCAGTTCGCTAGTGCATGAACAGAGATGCCTGAAACAGCAAGACAAAAGGCGTATTTTTTCAATTCACTTTGAAGTATAATTCCAAGTCATGCATTAAATTAACTAGTTTATCATAAAACGAGTATTAATTTTGCCAAATGCTGAAATTTTTTAAATGCTTTTATAAAAATGTAAACTCTAAATTAACAAAATGTTAACTGAGCCAAGAAGGTTAAATTAATTTTAATGCTTTAGTCACATGATTTTAGCAAAATTGATTAGAATAAAAGTATTTGTTAATTCAGAGCACAGTGGTATAGTTCCCTGTTTTTAGTTTGTAGAATTTTCCATTTTAAATGGTTTCTGTGTAGTCTTCTCTTTGCAGTCCTTGTAGTCGTACAGAATAGATTATGGATAAATTTACTTTTCAGCCTGCCTGAATAATCAGATTCTGTACAGCTAATGTGTGATCAGGCTGAGAAAGGGGAAGGCAGCCAATTGCTCACCTCCATATGATTGCTCCAAGCAGTGGGCTGCACTTGTGTGCCACTTGTTGGGCATAGTAACACTAGTGGGTCTTGGAAATACCAATTCCTTTAGCTCTTTTTCTGGATTAGCTTCACTGCTGGATCTTAGGTTGAGCTGTATTGGATATCCGAGTATGCCTTAATATAGCATGAAATCTTTTATCTGTATTCTTGCACAACAAAATGTGAATTTATTTTTTTCCTGTGGACTTTGCTCCAAACAGCTTAAATATGATAAAGGATAAATATGGAAAATGCTAAGCTAAATATAAACTACTTTGTGTAGGTGTGCTAGAACCATATATATTTCACATTTTCAGAATATGAATAGTATCTGAATATACAATGCAGGTCAGCAGCTACATGCTTCCTCTGAGCTCAGATTTTAGCCCACTCATTTTATTTTATGCCTGTTGTGCAAATAAATAGGTAGGGTGACAAAATAAAACAGATAAATACAACTTAATAAATAGAATAATAATAATAATGTCATTGAATGTTTAAATTATAAGGGAGATGAAAGTAGACAGACATTTTGGAAGAGGAGCTCAGAAAGGAGGGTAATTTGTTTTTACTTCTCTATGTGCTTCCTTCAGCAAAACACAGGCTATTCATGGTTATTGCACAGGTATTGGCGCTCACAGCTATCACAACTATAACATGCAAAGATGTCATATGCCACAGTATAGATGTATGGGACTGTGCAACACTAGGAAATATAAGAAAGCAATGTAGTGCAAGACTCTTGAAAAGCAAAATGACAGCTTTTTCTGAGATAAATTAACAAAAGATCTATAACTGGGTATTGCTGGCAAAGTCAGCAGTTACTAATCAACCTTTTGATTCAAGATCAGGAAGCTATTTCACCAAACACAAAATTTTAAATGTCAGAAAAGCTGCAGAACTGAGTTCAAGTTTCTGATAAGGTCATGGGGAAGTGTGGGGGGAATATTTTCCTTTTTCCACTTTGAAGGTTGGCGCAGTTAAAGATATCACCAGTAACACTGAAAAAAAACCCATGACAAGGACAAAGAAATCGAATAGATGCTATGAAGCACAAGTTGGGTAGTTTACTAGAAGCTGACAGTTGTACTAAAGTGGATGTGCTGGCTTAAGCAGCAAACACGGCTTGAATGCTTTCACATGTTGCATCAGAATTCTACAGTTTTCATGGACTTAAGCAGAAATAGTCAAACACAGAGATAGAAGTGAAATAGTTTTGTCCAGTGAATTTTTCCATCTCTTCATATTCGAGTTTTTTAAAAATTAAAGTGTATACAATTTGCAAAGACTATAGAAATTAAAATAGATCATAAAAATGCACCCTTGCAAGAATTCAAACCATCAGAAGCTGCTATACCTTTTTATATAAAGGTTTTTCTTACTATGCTTTCATTTGTATCTGTACAGTAGAGGAAGAACTGTTAACAAACAGAACACTTCCATAACACAAGGTTATGCTTGTTATCCATAGAGCAGCATTATATAAAATACTCATTAACACACCTTGGCATAATCCAATTTCTTCTGCCATACACAGCAGATTATTTAAAGTATTTTTGATAGTAATAAACTCAAGGTGAATTAGATGCCACAAATGCAAGTAGTGTCACAAATTACTTGGGTTTCAGAAGGATGAGTATCTATGTTTTCCTATGTTCATGGTGACAACGAAAGTGCTTTGTCCATGTAATTGTGCTGTTTATGTGAGAGTAAACACTTTTATTCATCCTTTTTTGAAGTAGGTTGATTCTGTAAAATGGGGTTGCTAGGGGACTTAAAGCATGTCCTCTGTGGAAGTGTGGATGTCCTTTATACTCTGCAACTGAATAATACTGAAGGCGTGGTAGGAAGCTACTGGGAATCTGTCTGGGTTATGGTGCAACTAGCAGACATGCAAGCTACCTGTCTGTGGGAATAGCCTGATGATATGAGTTACTCAAAATTGTAGTTAAAATAAATCTTATAGAAATCTAATGGAGTGAAATTATGCCACTTAGATGCAAGGTCTGACAGAGCAGTTTCATGAAACAAAGTTTCATCTCTTTGCTGATCTATATATTGCTATATAGACTTCACTATTTTATTGCGTGTTGGCCGATTACAGGCACTGTGCCTGGTATCATGTAAAGAAAAGTACATATGTTAATATAGTTTCCAATGTCAGCTGCAGAAATCAGGCTAAGAACAGGCTTAACTGGAAAGTATATTGAATAAAGAACATGCTGAAAAAAATTGTGAAGACAGGAAAAAGTGTGGGAGTAGGGGCTGGTGTACCAGTGTCTCTTACAGATTTTTGATTTTTTTTTTTTAATGATAGAATGGAATATGGTCTTGACTTTGGCCTCTAATAAGAGGTGCTGTGTGGATTTGGCATTATTATTTCGCAGTGACTGTCAGGAGATAGATTGGAAAGCAGTCTGAAGAGGGAAACTACAGGGGAATGTACATCATTTATCAGATCAATAAACTGTTACGACACTGAGGTACACATGGTACACTCCTAGTGACTCCAAAGTGTTCTAGAAGTCTTTGCCTTGTTTTTTGTATTACCTATGGAGCAATAGATATGTCCACAGGCTAATAACATGGATTGGAATAAAATAATTAGTGAAGCACAGACATCTGCTGCAGAAATTATGTGTAAATATCTTTTGAGCATTTTTGTTTCTATACAGCCAACCAATTACTATGTTAATGCTGATGTAAATAGTCTGTATAACCAGCAATAGTAAGTGGAGTTAGTCGGGGTTTGTATTTCCTTGTAGCTGAGGACTGAGTCTAGCACAATGCCTCAAGATTAATTTGATGCAATTCAAATTAAACACTCTTCCCTATGCAACAGTAATTATGTAACTATGCGGGTGGTGAGTCATGCACTGTTAAAATGGATGATGATGACAGGTGTCCAAAGTGGACCAGGTTGCAGGCATCTATGGTTAGACATATGTGTAGAGAAAGGAGTGGTGGTAAATTGAAGAGAGTAGAACAAATTCAGAGCTACAGGCAGAGACAGTGAGAAATGGCAGTGACAGAGAACCTTGTCTAAGCAGCATTCTGTAATGAGTCATTGTAAGGCTTTTTTTATTCCCACTGAGGTGGAGGAATAAGGCAGTAAATCCATATATTAAGCTAATGAAATGTTTTTCCTGATTATTTTTGACTTGACTTAATGTGTAATCTTTCATTGTTTATTATGGATGCTCTAATTCACTTAATGTCTGTGAAAGAGTGAAACTGTTTAAAGCGAAAATTCAAAGGCCCTATAATCTGTGACAACTTCTAAAGTAGATTAAATTGAGAGGAGGAATTAAGTTAAAACTCTACCTATGCAACAAATGTAGACTTTTTGAAGGTACTTCTGTATTAATTTGGCCTGTGTTGAAAGGTTTAAAAGATTTAAACAATCAAGTCCAATTTTCAATTGAGTGACTTAAGCATCCATGAGTCTGCAAGACCTACCGACTACAGATGAGACTTAGTTTCTTCTAAGGCTTAAGATGCTTCTGAAAACAGGGCTGGGCTATCTAACTAACTTAGACCTTGCAAGATAAGCAAATAATTCCTTAAAGACCTGTCACAGCTTCATGACTTGGTGTATAATAAGCTACTCTGCTTGACTCAATTTCTGACTATTGTTAGACATGTCCAGGACTGATTCAAGCTTAAAGACATTTTGTCATAGTTGTTCCACTATTAACTTTCCAAATCATTAGCAAGTGCCTCAAATATTTGTCAGGACTTCTTTTATATGCAGCAAAGACTTGGGAGTTGTGACTGTGATGTATCAAATATGACCCCTTAATACTACCCAGATTTCAACTTGAAGGATATTTATGCCAGCTAGTGTACATAGTACCCATTAACTCCACCTGAGTTTTGGCATCCATTCAGTTAAATGCTCCTTTTTAAAAGTATAAACCTCTGAAACATTGAGACTCATGTAAAAGGAAAAAAAACCCAACCACAGCCAGTTTTGCCAGTTTTTAAAAATTAACGGAATCCTTTTGTTCTTGCTTTATGTGCATGTTTCACTGTAGTTCTAAATCATTAAATTAAATTGTATCTTTCAAAGCTTTTAATTAAATTTTTCACTGTACTTTTTATTTCTCTCTATAGTATAATGAAGAACTTCACTATGTAGAGCCGTGTCTGAATGGAACATTAGTTCAAGCAGACAGAGCCAACAAAGAGGTAAGGAGTGAAGTAACAAAACAGCAGAGAGAGAGGATGCAGTGCATAACAACGTGCTATAATGATATTTTCCTAGTACAATGCATTCCATTATTAGAATTTATTAATTATTCTCTGTATGCCATTTCAAAGGAGTCTTATGTGACTCAGTAGGAAGTAAGAGCAATAATCTCCTAGTCAATTTGATGGAATAAACTTAGTGGAAAAAATACAGAAGTCACTGGAAATGTACTATTAATAAAGTTAAGTAATTATTTTAAGTAAAATACTTCAGTTGTTTTAAATTGCACTATCATTCTCTTACCATAATTACTGAGGAAGAGATTGCATTCTTAAGTCAAACTAATACTAAAGTTGAAACAAAATCTGAAAACAAATGAAAGCAGATACAATACTATGTGAATAAAAAATTTAGTATTCCAAACAGGTGTGTCAAAATAATAATGCATTCATTCAAGAAGGTTCTCTGGAAATGTTCAAAATAATTGCATCCTGCTGGTATTTTTTCAGAAAAAAAATTACAGTGATTTCAGTGAAAGTTTTATTTGAAGGGAGATTGCAAATCAATCTGCAGCTTGAAGTTTAGTTTATTGTCTGCCATTCAAATGTAGTTGCTCTCTGCAAGCTTTACTCCATCACACTTAGAAGGGTAAGGTAAGATTGTTTATGCCATGTAAAATTATTGAATAAGATAGTTGAAAAGTCCTGTGTTTCCTGTAGAGGGAAAGGCCTGTTACAATAAGCCACTTGTGTTATTATGGAACTTCTCTGCTAAAGCTTCCTTGCTTCTTAATGTGACTTTTCCACCTATACTGAGTCTTGCTTATGGCTGGAGAGGGTAGCAGTCTTGCATCTTTCTTTAAGTACTTCTCTCTCTCTTTACTAAAGGCAACTCAGAAGAGTTTCAGCTCAGCACTAAATTGCGCTTAACATTCAGTGTGGTAGTTGATTTTTGCTGAAGAAGTCAATGAGATGTTACAGGAAGTAGAAAACATAGCTCTCAAAACACACTTCTAAGTGTGCCAGGGTTAGGTCTTTTTATGTATACCAAGACAAAATGAATTTGATCTCATTATACTGACCTTTACTTCATTATATTATTCACATGAGTTCTTTGCATTTTACCTACATATACACCTACATTCTACAGGAATTTTTCTTCACGGGCTGCTTCCTTAATATACTTGATGTTCTCCACTGTTGATTTTTAGATTATCTAAATATCATTTGGTTACTATGTGGGACGACATGAATTGTTTCTAATCATTTAGTGTTTAGACCTTTATTTGTGAACTGTGGTGCAGTTTTCTAAACGAGCACTTCATTGTGGGTGTATCTAATGAGCCATATGAAAGCTGTGCAAGTCCTAGACTTAAAACTAAAGATTGAAATATACTGCCCAGATGTACTGTCTGGAATTAATCCTACTGTTAACCTTTCCATCACTCTGCAGCTGATCAAGATGCAGATTACCATACACCCATATGTTACTTAACATCAGTTTTGTTTTAATTTTATTGATCAAAAAGTTTTTATGCCACCCAGATGATGTTCAGATTTTATGAAAAGTGCTCAACTATTATAAATAGCTAAGTACAATTTCATATTTTCTTCAGAGTAAGCTTCAGTATAATTTCTAGTTAGCTAAGTTATTAAGTTTTTTTTATTTCTTCAATCACGTTGTGCTTTATTTTGCCTATAAATTGAATAATACATGCTAGGTTTCAGAGAATAACTAAATCTGACCTTTTTATTCATATTGATGAGCTAGTTATTGTTCATTCCTTGAAAGATCAGAACTAGAGAATAAACTTGAGATAGGTGTCATGTAATAATTCTGTATATTATATACTATGACTTTATCAATCTTGATTTGTTTCTTAACTTCTGTGAATTTCAACGACGTTCTTATTTTTCTCGTTTGTGCAATGAAGTTAACAATTTATTTACCTAAACACTGGGAGGCACAGAAGTGCCATTGTCCCGAGTGTAGCTTATAGTATAAAGTAAAGATTGTCAGGGAGATGGACAACCACTTAATCCTAAACAAGTAATTCGGTTATCATGCTCCTGACCTCATAGTTACAAACAGCTTTCTGAATTGTCTGATATTGTTGTAAGATCTGATACTGTGTGATTTGAATATACCAACACAGCAAAATTACCTGGGGGCCTCATCAAAAACTCACTGAATTTCCTGGAAACGTTTCTCTTGGATTCATAGTCTTTTGGTCGGATGCATAGAAAAAAGATGTCTCAAAATGTTGTTACTATGCACATTCCAAAACTGGTCAAGAGCTATCGGAGTATTTAGCTGTGTTTTGGAACACAAAACAATTCAATCATTTGGGCTGTTACATTCATTTTTGTGAGTGTGACAGATATACCAGGCTTCTCCTGTATTTTTTTCTGTGTAATTGCCAAGTGCCTATTATAATATCAGACAAAAGTGGATGAAATTACTCTTTCTCAACCAGTCTTACAAGGTGAATACTCCATTTCATGTTCACTGCTAATAATAGCTCTTTCTTTTGTTTATTAAATGATAAACAGAAGAAAGAAAAATATCATGAAAAATATTTTAATATGTATTTTTTCAAACAGCCATTAATAACATATAACCATAAGTTTCCATGTTGGCGAAGTAGAGGAGGTGACTGACAGGCAATGTTTTAAAATATATATCCTACTGTTTCAGTTTATATGTGTATACATATGCCTGATTTTTTGGAAATTCAGCATAGGTCTGAAGATATAACTATATATTCCTTCCAGAAATTTCTAATCTTTGTCTTTTAATGTCAAATATTATCCACAATTAAATGGGAGCAAGGATGACCACATCTATTACTACCAGTATAAGCTTTGTTAGCACCAAAATAAATGCAAGCATTTAAAAATATGTCAGAACGTTTTTTCTTTAGCTAGCAAATATCTATTCCCATATGCTAACTTTAAACAGAAGCAATTAGAAATTGCTGTAATGGCATTTCATATTGCTATAGCTTTCCCTTATGTGGAAAGAGGAGATATATGTTGCTGATGATTGCAGGGACTGAATTTTTAACAGTTCACTCTACCACTCTTTTGGATTGCTATGTATACGCCTGACCTTACTAAGGACAGGTATTGTTTAATGCAGCATTTGTTGTTGGAAGCATGCATAAAACCAGTTTTACCAAGCTATTAATTTATGCTAAGTAAACGTCAATTTCTACGATTTTGGCAGTATATATGTCTCTCTTTTTATTTTTTTAAACCATAATACATGAATGCCAATATAAAAAATTTCCATTAAATGACCCTTAAAAAGAAAAAAAAAAATTCCTCACCCCCACCCCTAACATACAGAGACGCACACCCCAGTTCTTGCTGGGTTCATCTGACATCATATGTAGCAAATATGGTTCTTAGAAGCAAAGATAAGAAGTTAATTTGAGATGATTGACTGGAGCTTTTTATCTCATGAGGAAAACAGCTGTTTCAATAATTCCAAATAAAAATTGCTTTCACAGGATCAGTACCCCAGTCTACATTTGTCTTTAAAATATTTATTGAAAAACTGCTTTACTGTCTTTGTATAAGGCTTAGATGTTTTCAGATGGAATCTTTCTACTCCGAGGATGTCACTTAAACATGCTGAATGGCTTTCTTTGCATCGAGTTTTCTTTAATCTCTAAGTTTTAACAAAACAAAGAAATAGAAAAAGGAGATCTAGAACATTAGGCTATCCTTATCACTTGCACTTCATTTGTAACGACCTAAAGGGCAAATCAGCTTCTCAGCAGAAGAAATAGGGTTAAATAAACGTCCTTCTCTCAAAATTGGAGAGATATGGATTTGATGGGTGGACTGTTCAGTGGATGAGGAATTGGTTGGATGGTTGCATCCAGAGGGTAGTGGACAATGGCTCGATGTCCAGATGGAGATTGGTTGACATGTGGTGTCCCTCATGGGTCCCTGCTGGGACCAGTACTGTTTAATATCTTCATCAATGACAGAGATAGGGGGATCGAGCACACCCTCAGCAAGTTTGCAGATGACACCAAGCTGAGTGGTGCAGTTGACATGCCTGAGGGATGGGATGCCATCCACAAGGACCTGGACAAGCTCAAGAAGTGGGCCCATGTGAACCTTATGAGGTTCAACAAGGCCAAGTGCAGGGTCCTGCACCTGGTTCAGGGCAACCCCAAGTAGGGCGGGGGCCCTGCCCCGGGGTGAGGCCACCCGCCAGTATCAATACAGGCTGGGGGAGAAAGGGATTGAGAGCAGCCCTGCCGAGAAGGACTTGGAGGTACTGGTGGATGAAAAGCTGGACATGAGCTGGCGATGTATGCTTGCAACCCAGAAAGGCCAACTATATCCTGGGCCGCATCCAAAGCAGCATGGCCAGCAGGTTGAGGGAGGTGATTCTGCCCCTCTACTCCTTTCTGGTGAGACCCCACCTGGAGTGCTGCATCCATCTCTGGACCCCTCAGCACAATAAAGACATGGACCTGTTGGAGTCCATGATCAGAGGGATGGAACACCTCTTCTATGAAGAAACGCTGAAAGACTTGGGGTTGTTCAGCCTGGAGAAGAGAAGGCTCTGGGGGCAAACTTTTAAGCAGGGCCTGTAGTGATAGGATAAGGGGAAATAGTTTTAAAGTAAAGGAGGGTAGATTTACACTAGATATAAGGCAGAAATATTTTACAATGAGGGTGGTGAAACACTGGCACAGGTTACCCAGAGATGTGGTAGATGCCCCATTCCTGGAAACATTCATGGTCAGTTTGGACTGGGCTCTGAGCCCTGTCTTCTGGTTGAAGATGTTCCTGCTCGTTGCAGGAGGTTGGACTAGATGACCTTTAAAGGTTCCTTCCAACCCAAACTACTCTATGATTCTATAAATTACACTAACTTGGGGCAGATGGGCCAGGGTTGGACTTGGGGGGAGATCAGGTCCTCTTTTTTGGGGAGAGCTGGGTGTCATGTTTCCTTCTGCCAGCACAGACACTAT